CGTAGCAGCTTGTCTTATTCCCAAGTTCTACTTTCTAGTTTCTTTCGAAGCTAATGATTCTTGCTCTGGATGTCGCCATATCGAGGTGTTTCTTCAATGTGGTGTACAAGTACATATTCTTCTTCAAATATCTCAAACCTCAACAACGCCAACTTCTGTACCATCGAGAGCTATAGTTATCATTCCCGGTTATATTCTTCGTGGGCTAACTTTCATACTGTCAGAGAATTTGCGCCATCGCCTTCAGTACAAAAGAAGTTAAGCTCTTTGGTCTGAAGGATTAGGCTGAGGAGTAATCCTTTTTACCTATCTTTTTTACCTGTAGGCTAGGGCTAGGCTATAGCGAATAATTTCCATCCATTGCTGGGGACTTGTATCGATCAAATCAGCCCAACGCCCACTCGATCCTGGCACACGAGAAAATACTCCTTGCAAAGCCCCAATCAGATGGGGTTGTTTTAAATATGATGATTCCGGAAAATGTGCAGAGAGTAGAACGCGTGCTCTTTCTAATTCGCTGCCTATGTAAGTTAGTGCTACAAAAACATCGATGTTTGAAACTATTGATTTTTCGATGTATCGATACTATTGAGTTTTCTTGGGATTTATAGCTTTTTAAAGTTGAAATCCTAATCAATCACTGTAGTTTTTTAACAAATTAGATCTATTATTTTAAGTTATTCATGGTATTTAAATGAATTCATTTAATAATTAAATAAAAATTAAAAATTAAAAATTAATGGACAAATATTCATAAGGCAACAACACAATAGTAATAATTAGACATCGGAATTCTATGAAATTGCATATTTTTGTTTAGCATCCAAGAGATCCTGCACCAAGACAGAAACTCGTTGCATTTAAAGTGATGAAGATTTATGCCCATGCATATTTGTATATATTTTGCATATTCGCATATTTTTTGCATATCTGCATATATTTTGCATATTCTTGTATATTTTTCATAAGAGTATTTTTAATAATGATTGAAATTTCACCCGTTTCCTGTTGACCTATTAATTTGAAAGTTCTGATTACAATCCAATCACGCTCATTCAGTATCATAGCAAATGTGTACAACTAAATTGTGGATCCAAGATGACCGCCGCCACGAAACGAGAGATTACATATTTTTTCACAACCCTCTCAATATGGATACCAAATGTGATATAAATGCCTTACTTTAACTTACATTTGAATTTTTAAACAGTTGGCCACGCTTATAAATTCAGTTATAAATGAAACCTTTTTAAAGCCATTTCGATTGATACTCATATTTATAATAATTTAGTTAACTTACTGAACAATTTGAATTGAACTTAATTTTTAAAGCGGTGGCTTAAGCCTCTTCGAACTCTTCAAAAATAATCTTAATATTTAGCCTAAAGATTTCTCAGCACTCTTTCGTTTGACACCCATATTTTTATATTTTATATAACTTAAGCATAATTTAATAAAATTCTACTTTTTAAACAAATGGCAACTCCCTTTAAAATGTTTTCAAACTACAACCTTCTTAAGCGTCTTTCATCTGACACCCATATCCATTGTGATACTCATTTTAGACCTACTTATTTCCATAAATTCAAACTGAATTTGATATTTTAAACAGGTGGCAACCCTCCTGCATGTAGTTGGCAAGTAAAACCTCTTCAAAACCATTTCGTGTGATACCCATATTGTAATAATTTATTTCCCTTAATTGAATTTAATAGGTGGCAACCCTTTACATTTGCTAACCTAGATATTTATGAACTTTCTCCTCGCCGAGACAATCAGAGCGCGAAACCATAGAGTTTATTGGTGACAAACTTTAAGCTACTTTCTTTTATATTACATACATATGAACACACATTCATATGTATATAGTAGTATATGTAGTCCACAACACACTAAAAATTAATAGATGTACTAAATAAACAAGGGGGTTTAAGCTGGATTTGTATATAAAATGACTATGCAGGAACTTGTTTTGATTTAATACAAAAGCCTGTTAACATAAGTATTGATTGCATATTATTTGCATATCTTTTGCATATATTTTCTGCATATACAAATTTCATAGAATCCCGATTATTACTAATAATACATCGATGTTTAAACAAAAAAATAAAAACATCGATACTATCGATGCTCCGATTTTATTTTAGCGCTAATGTAAGTGCCGTCCTTGGCTAGGCCGTTTGAAGTCTTGCCTCTACAGTAGTGGATGCTATGTACTCGGAAAAGTTTTTAAAGCTTTCTCTCTTCTTTTCTTATGTGTATATTATATTAAGATAAGCTGGCTGCGTAGATCAGTGTTGCCAGAACTTTCTGGGCCAACCGGCTAGATTGGCAAAAAAAACCGGCTAAAAACGGCTAAACTGTTTAAACTAAATTTCACATGTTTTATTTAAATAAATCATAAGTAGAAAGACTAGTTCTTGGGGAGAAGTTGCAAATTCAAGCTGGAAAAAATTTTGGCGGCAAGAATTTGCAATTAGAAAAAACATATGAATGTGGCACATGGTTGCATTTTTTGTCGACAATAATTTGAATAAACAAGTTCGTCAAATTTAAAAATTTACAAACTTGAGCGATTTATAATAAAAAATTTAAGTTAATACTTGTTTACTGAATTAGTTTAGCTAATTCCAATGATTTGAAACGTACTCGTAATCCAATTTCAACCAGAGTCGATATAGGAAACGCGACAGTTAGTACGGCAAAGAAATTGAAACGTATGTTGAAGAAAGTCGTACTAGCAAGAAATATACATATAGATCCTGTTTTTTGTCCCTCTGAAAGAACTTTAAAATTCTATACAAATTTCTTATGTTTTAAATGCAACCGTGGACACTAGCTGGCAGAGAAACTTGCAAGTTCCTGCAATTTTGCGTTCGTGCAGAAATTTGCAAGTTTCTCTACTTGAGAGAGAATTTGGGAGCATTTTTTCTTACTAACTGATATTTTGAGTGATAATTTTCGCTGGATTTTCGACGAACAAACGTATTGTCTTCCTAGAGAGTTTTGCTTTACATAGAAATTTGTGCTCTTTTACTTTCATTTTTATGCATTTCAGTGCTGGTTCTTTTAATTCAAGTTGGCCTTCGGTTTTTGGAATTTAAATAAGTTCTCAGGAAAAAAAAGTTAGTTTAAATAAGCCCATATGTGTACATAGTGCTTAAAAATATCCATTTTTCCCTTGCCTTAAAACTTTAAGCGTGGGCAACAATGATGTTTTGTAATTAAGGCAGAATTGAATATACGCTATCTGGGAAGACAATACCTGTAATATTTATTCTTGGCAGTATGTATATCCAAACACAAACGCCTGTTGAGCAAACAGTGAAACAATTTGTTATTTTCTAAGTTTGCGAATAAAACTTCACACTTAAATTTAAGTCACTCATAACAAACATTTTATGAAGAAAATCCCCGTTACGGCCTTCTTTAGAAAAAAAAAATATTTGTTTAAAATAAAAATAATCGAAATCGGCCCAATTTTATATAACCCTGCCTCCACGATAACACTAGTACCCATTTCTAACAGATTTTGGGTCGCTTAGTCAAAAATGGAAACATATATATTTGAATTTTAAGAAAACGAAGAAATAGCAAAATCGGCTAAAAACGGCTAATTTTTTTTACAAAACGGCTAACAAATCGGCTTCCGGCTAAACCGAAATTTCTCCGGCTGTTTGCTATTGCAACCGGCTAAATCTAGCCGGAAAACGGCTAAAATGGCAACACTGGCGTAGATCACCCAGCACACAGTATCTTAACTGTACTGAATTGCATTTGCACGCTTTTCCTGAGTGCTGAGAGGCTGCGAGACGACCACGGTGCTTTCGAGCAGGAATAATAGGATACCATATTGCGCTAGTCGGGCAGCAAAGACGATTTCCGTTGAAATTGTGTAGACCAATACCAAATCTTGACTTAGAAATTCTGTAGTGTAGAAATAATCAATGTTATATCTTCTGGCTCCGGAACCAGTAATACGGCCAGATTATCCGATGAAAACTATTTAGTGAGCACTGCAGAAATGCCAATGGCGTGGTAAAAGTTTATCTGGGTTACGGTTATCATGGGTTGATTGTTCATTTTTGTATTGGCTCATCAATATCTGAGAGCCATCTAATTCGAGCTTGCGAATGTCCATCAGCTCTTGCTGAATACCTGTTTGGACGACCGCTGGCTGCACAATCTCTGTGTTGGGAGTGATGTTGCTCTCGGGTGGCACCGGCGTACCTTTATTGTTGTGTAGTGGTGTGAGGCACTATCTTTGATGACTCTTATTTTTAGCCTTCAGTATCCCGATCGCGTACTTAGGAGATTTATGCACACTCCTCGGGAAGAAGACCGTCATGTTGTGGGTCGGCGGGATGTTGTCGCCTTCTTGATGCACAAATGTGACCCTTTCCACTCTTCGAGCTTACCAGCCACGTGGCTGTCCTTTCCTTCCTGCAGTCCACAAGACACATTCCTGGCCTTTAGCTGATCCACAATCAGTTCTTCCTTTCGAGCTCGAATTTGGATCAGGCGATAGACGTGAACGAGCTTGAACTAGTGTTGGTCTCGTGCCTTGTTTGGCCTGTTAGCAGCTAATCTACTTCTCTGCTCTTCAGAGGGAGTGCGACGTTGGGTTCATGCTCTATGCTAAAGCATGTACCCAACGGCCAAGCCTCTTCACCGCGACAAGGCACTGCTGAGTAAAAGTTTTAAAAGCTTCTGGTATTTCCTAAACATAACGGTGTTTCCTGTGGATATTTTCTAATTAGAAATAAGTTTTTTCAGGTAGTTTGTAGATTATAATTATCAAAGAGCTTTTATTTTGAGTACAAAGATGAATAATATTTATAAATAATTATGAAGAAAAAATACCGAAATAAGTACAAGTACAAAATCTCGGACAATTGTAAATACTTATAGGTATGTATTTCAAAACTATGTAGTATACAGTTGGGTTAAATTTATATAATTGCTAATATTTGGAAGTGACGTAGGCCTTTAAAGCTTCATGGTTCTTTAAAATTAACTTGTTTATCCCCTTTTGGCCGATCTTGTAATTTCTCTTCACTTAGTTTCTCTATAAATATTTCACTCCGACACGGGTTCCGTGTTTCTATCAGAAACACACAAAACGCTATGCTCAATCCAACAATCAATAAAATCCAAGCCGCGTAGAAAGTATACAAGTTCAAAGCTCTGATAGGCAGCACATTGTTTACCAGCTTTACATAGCCAGCATTCAAGGCATCATTGAAATCCGAGGTCAGCCAGTAAACATCCAAACCAGCCATTTGTACGTCCAAAATGAAACGCGTTAGAGGTTTTTCCAAATGTGAGTCCAAACGCATGGGAAAGCTTATACATGGACTACCCAAGCAAATTTTCGAAAACCGGTTGATGGGTTTATTGGCATATTGCTCTTGCAAGGATAGAAAATCCCAACGCTCTTCGGTGACAGGATAGGCATACGAACTATTGAAGTTCAACAGATGCGCCATTTGTACGCTCGAGTTCGCACCTATTATCAGCTTCTGAATCTTAGACACGAGTTTGGGTGGCACTTGTTCCAAAACCATATCGATCTCATGGAATTTTGTTAAGATAGGCAACTGCGCCTCGATCAACGACTCGAAAGTATCCAACTGCTCACCAACGAGTATGGTGGTATAGAAACTGCTGAGCAGATTATTGTACCAGCTGGTTAGTAGAAACCCGAAAAGCGCCAGCTGCAAGTAGATCAGGAAATAACGCAGCGAGGGTTGTTGACTTTGATATGTATGCGGCAGAAAGAACACATGTGCTATGCCCTCGAGAAATGTGCGCGACAGCTTTGTGAGGAGTGGAGCCTCGCTGGGCACACAAGGACTGGTCCACATAAGAGCAATTGCGATATAGGCCACTGCGATACATATAACAAACCAACAGCCCAACTTGAGTGGACGTATCGGATACAGACAACGCGGAATCTCATTCTGCACTGGCACTATGAAGCAACATTCCAACTTGAAGATCGGATAGCTCATGATGCCTTGCTGCTCGCCGATGCTCGTGTAGGGATGCATTGAGATCTCCAGCTCCTGCTTCTCAAGTTTTTGAGCGATAGAGCTAGTATTAACGCTGCTCGTTATATCGTGGACCGCATTAGGATTGCTGATACGCAGCGTAATATTCATGCGACGGAGGAAGTTTACAAATATATGATAGGCAAAACCGCGTATGTTCGTTTTGTTGTCTCGCTGATTGTGCACAAAGAAGATGCGTGGCAAATCATTCTCGGCAGGCGTTGAGATTGTGTAGCCCTGCAGATCAGTGGGTGCAGGCGGAAAAATATTTTCGCTCCGATTGTATACACGAAACACTTGCATCCGTGGAAAGGGCGAGTACCGGTAAATGGTGTTGTTGTACAGCAGTACGGTGTGCAGAAATTGTAGCTGCCAGAGTTTGGCGAAAACCGCCACTGGTTCAAGCCGTGCACTGGTGGTCACCACGATGACTTTTGTTTGCCGTAGTTTACGCAAACGCTGATCAACCACGCGCCAAATGCGATCGGTTGGCGCGTCACATAACACTACGCTCAAGGCATCATTTTTAATATGGTTGCGTAATGTATTGCCTGGTGGTTTCGAATGATCATCAGCTGTGAAGATGTAACGCGCAGCCAAGAGACGCCGATGCAAGCTGGCAGCAATCGCTGTAAATGCGGCGCCATTTTCGTCGTTTCCGCCTATGAAAATCGGCACGTTCGAAATGTTGTGATGACGTAGTGTGCGCAATAGAACCTCGTCGAAAGTCATTGTGTACGTGGTTGTGTTGTAGGCGGTGCTGGCGCGAAACAGCAGCGTGTTGAAAAATACGAGTATCAACGTCGACAGCAACATCCTGCAAGGACTACTAACGGCAACTAAGCAGGCAACATGTTTTTTATACTGAACTCGATTTCCATTTACATGCCTATCTGCTTACACCCTTATACATACTTAAGTGCTTGTAATGTGCTTATTATTAAAATTAAGTCGACTTGTTGCAATTAAATTTTATCTATCAGCGCTAAACTTACATATTTAGTAATTTTCATATAGTGGATGCTAATAAAGTTACATTGTCGTTGGCGAACATTCCTGAAGCCTTTTACTAACTGTCCACACAAATGTGTAGTTGCCGTTTGACATGCCCATGCTATAAAAACGTTGAACTTAACAAATGAGACTGCAGTCATATTTGATATAGCAATAAAGATGGAAATTTACACACATATGTAATTCTTGATTATGGCCATCAAGAAAAAATTGTCATTTTTAAGTCGTTTACTTTAGAAAACCAACAAGCTACCAGTCAAGTGTATTAGGGTAGCTAATGTTTTCCCAAAAGTATACTGCAAAAAGTATTCATTAGTAAAGTGCGGCCATCTGTTTTTCTGGTCGTTACACGGACACAGTCGATATTTTATAATTTCAACATTTTTATAATTTCTCTCTAGAAATCATAAGATTTTTACTTTTTAAGAGCATTTCTGCATAAAAAAGAACATTTTTTTAAATCTCCTTTGGTGGTAAGGGCTCGATATGCAAGAAAACTCAAGACAGGATAAAAACAACGACATTGCGGACATTGGTACCCACTGGGCTCCACAACAACAACCTTTAAAGTAAAGGCAGTTTGGGTAAGGGTGGACCGATGAAATGGAATCAATGGGAGGGGTACTAAAAGAGTTCTTTTTTATCTGAAATATCCATTTATGCCATTACGGGAATAGTATTTCCTTTTTTAAATGACCACCACGAAGTATGCAGTAGCCCACAAGGGAGTGACCATAAACAAATATTTTACATCCAGTTCAAGCAGCTCATGACTTCCGATGTTAACACGAAGAGCTTAGTTATGCGCTGTGCTTGGGACCCGGATCGTAAAAAACAAACTCCCATGAAAGTAATAAATAAAAAAAGGACTACTATTTGAGGCAAGGCGAATTTATACAAGGTGGTGTTACTGGCAATTTAGATTTTTGCCGCGGTTCTTTTGAATGTCAAAATGATGTGTTTGTTGTAAACAAGGCGAATCTAAATTCGCCAGTAACGCCACCTTGTATTAATTCCCTTTGTTTGAGGCCATGAGCTTAGAATGTACGGATCCTTAATGTTATTTACTATTTATCCTATAGACAGGCATTTTATACTCAATTTCCGTAGTTTTTGTAAACTGCTGGATGTTACTCGATAATTTTATCAAGTGTGAACGTCCTTTTCAGCTTACTTTTGTTAGTCAGATAAATTATATTTATAAACAGCTGATCGGTGATTTTTTCCTATAAAAAAATAAATTGTAACAGAAAAGTTAATAATTTCTACTCAATCTATCGGTCATTTACTTAAACTTAAAACACGGTGTTACAAAAAAAAATAAAATTGTGCGAACTTTGGTAAGTTACCTAGGTCGTAGAGCTGGCAGAGTAATTGATGAAACTGTGTTCAAAAATTTTCTAACACCCTCAAATTCTTAACTTATTCTTAAAAAACCATTTTCGCATGACTTCCGGCACGGCTCGGTTATTTTTTAACCAATTTTATGTTTTTATATGGCTTTAAAAAGAAAATTCAAATTTTTTTTTTTATATGAACTATTGAAACCTCAAAATGAATCCAATCCAATTGATGGAATTTTTCTGTAAAATTGCATCAAAGTGATTTGGAAAAATCTTAGAAAATTCACAACTTCCGAATTCGTCTATTGATTTTTATAAATGGTACCCAGTTTTACTCGGAATTGAACGTTATTTTCGAAGTAATAACTGAAAGAGACTACTTTATTTGGAAATTTTAGAAAAAAAAATGTCTTATGCCGAATTTCCACTAGGCATTGAAATGACAAAAAATGTATGCCATTTAAAAAAATGCCACGTGGAAATTAACTTAATGACTGTATTTTTAATGTAATAATGCCGAGTTTCCACTAGGCATTGAAATGACAAAAAATGTATGCCATTTAAAATATGCCATGTGGAAATGAACTTAATGACTATTTTTTAATGTAATGACACGATTATTTTAGAATGCCCGACTTCGTCATTTGTCATTTTTGCCATTTAATGCCTAGTGGAAATCCAGCATAACATGATTATTTTTTAATGCCCGACTTTGTCGTTTGTCATTTTTGCTATTTAATGCCTAGTGGAAATCCAGCATTATTAGGAAAAATATATAAATAAAAATTTGTGTTAGCTTCAGGCTTATTCCAAAAATTTTCCACACATTTACAATGTACTCACAAAACTTATTATTTCTTTAAATAAAATTGGGTAAAAATAACAGCGCTAAAAATGGTTTAGTGCGGGAAATGATGTGCATATGCTTTTTTAAAAAATAAGTTGAGAATTTGAGGGTTTCACAAAAATTTAAAACTTAGTTTCGTGAATTAAGCGACCAGGCCACGATCTGTACTAACAAATTTTTATTTTAACTCCTCAGTAAGTTTATAACAAACTCCACGCAATATAAATTCCTTTGTAGGAAAAAAGAGAAAAATTAATAAATTGCTATTATTAAATTTACATTACAAATAATCTCAGCCACTGTGCTTGCTGCAACGATTGCAAATACATACCGAGTTCCCTTTACAGAAGATGTCGCAATAAAAACAAGGCGAAAACATTTGAACACTTACTGTGTGGAATAGCAAGTTGTTCAGTAGGTAAATTACTTTTCTTTTTTTTTTCTTTAATGGAATACCGGTTAGTTTTCCTCCTACCGGCACTCACTACTACACATTTACATTAGAGTTCATCACCAAAAAAATGGGGGGTTTCCACATTAATTATAAAAGATACTATATTTAAAGACTTCTGCAAAAATATTTCGGAAAAATTTTAAGATTTACGTGAGCTGGACTGATTTGAAAATACCACCGAAACTCTCATTATTTTCATTCCATTGACAAAATTTTTAAACATTTTTATGTAGAAGGACTACTCTTAAACTCTTCTTTCATCTGAGGTGATTTTTTAGAAAAAATATTTTTAAAAACTGAAGTCACAAAATATAATCATTTTATTTATTTTTTTTTTTTGCATGGAAAGTGATGCACCCGAATGTTCAAGTGTCTCTGTAAACTATACAACTTTTTACTTATATTACCATCGATATTTCTAACCCACTATCGATAGTTTTTCCCTAGTTACCGCCACTATCTTCGACGAAAACTTTTTTATATGAAAGGAAATGCGTAGAAAAAAAATTAGTCAAAAGAATTTTTTAGCAACTTCATACTTGCTCTTAATTGCACTAAAATTTAATGGACTGTAAAACTGCATACCAAGGTTTTTTCTAAAATTCTAATTAAAAAGTTTAAAATTTTGATTAAACTTTGTTGATTACCAATTTTTGTACAGATTTCGAAATTTGGATTTATGTGGTTTTTTTTAGATTATGAGCTATAAATTTATGCAAATTGCACTAATAATATTTAAACAAAAAACCACCGACTTCAATGCTCATATAACAATTAGCTAACTAATTTTTTCGCAATCCACTGATCAGAACTAAACCAAATTACTATAAGACCACCCTTGAGATGCAACCTTTCGGATAAAAAATAAAATTACACTGTTTTACAGCAAAAATGTTCTATGGATGCCACTATCCAATTCCTATGTAGAATTGCTCGGTGATTCCGAAAATCGAGCTATTTTTTTTCTATGGATACGTTTTCGAGATATTTGTAATTTACCGCTATTGAGCTTAAAGCAAAAATTGGTTCCTTTTAACCCCATCTCTCCCGCCAATGAAATTCTCCATAAACACCACTTTCCCATAGGGCTTATAGTTTCTGACAAATTAATTAATCATTCCAGCTTTTTTTATTTTTTAATGAAAAAATTAAAAAAAAATCAAACTTTAACAGAACAAAAATTTAAAAAATAGCAGGTTATGTGCCAAATTTTTGCAGTTGTACTAAAGCAAAGTAATCGGGGCCACCCTTCAATAGTAACTAATCGTCTGAATTATCAAGCCGCTACTGTATTCACAAGCGAGTTCATTATTTGCGCAACTTATGTATGTACGAACAAATGTTTTACGACCGATTGCTTGATTTGCTGTCGCAAAACAAAAAGAAAATTATCTTTACTTTATTTGAATGTTAATTTTTCATATTTCGCTACTCGCCCTTTATTTTTGTTTGCGCACAAAGTATGCACAAGCAAATTATGTATGTATGTATACTTAAACATATGTCTGTATGTTCATAAATATATGCATTATTTTTATACGATATTTGCGGCAGCGGTCGCCATACGATAAGCGGAAAGCCGGCAAATAAAATTCAACAAAAATTAAATTTAGTACAGCCAGTTGATTTGGCCAACTCTTCACATCTGAAGCGATTATTTTTTTATTTTTTTTATTCTAATGCACTTTCATTTGCTTATGCATACATACATACGTTTTTTCTTGGCATTCGCAGCATGTTACTCGTAAGTGCTCTCTTTTAGCTACATACATACATATGTACCCAGTGAGAAAAGATAATGGTTGGGAATGCATACAGTAATGGATAGTACGAATTTCTCTACAATGTTGTCAAACGAAAGTAATGTGTTGCATGTCGTTTTATAAAACTACAAAAATAATCCATGAATGGAACTTATAAAAAAGAGTCCGTGCCACAGGGTTTGAACCCATGACCAACAAAATTTGTAGTCGAAGACGCATTTATTCGGCTGCAGCAGCTGTTGAGATAACGTGAAAAATACATAACTACTTACATACTTAAGTTCTCCAACTTTTTGTTTTTGTTTGTGGCTTCAAAACTACACATTATCCGCTAGCTTGCAATGCGTTGCATGTCTTCGTTTAATCGTAGCTTTTGATCTTTTCTTGGTAGAAAAAGTTAATGCGCTCCCATTTTCCCACTGGGTACGTACACTCAATCCCCAATCAAATGTTTATCGCTGCTGTATTATACTCGCATAAACGCACATGGCAGACCGAACGGTCTGTCTGTATGTACATACACATATACTGATGTTGGTGTTGTTGGTTTTTTTTTTATTATCTGCTTTTTAGTCGATTTTGTATGTTATGTTTGTTTTTCGTGTTTGTGTAACGAAAAACGCTGACCTGGCGATAAGCTTCCAATAGCCGTGATCGTCTAGTGGTTAGGACCCTACGTTGTGGCCGTAGTAACCCAGGTTCGAATCCTGGTCACGGCAATGCTCTACCAAGTGGGGCATTGTCACGGATGGAAGCGTTTTTTTTTTTCTTTTTTTCATACGTGTGTGTACATATAAAATTTATTTGTGTGATATTTATGAGGCGCAAATAGCAGGAAGGTTACCAATTCGTCTGAATATTTTTTTTTTCTATGTATGTATCGGATAACTCTAGAACACGTGAAACATTTTTTATAATTTTTTCTTTTTGAAAAAGTGTAATCCCATACTAATTTGGTTAATTTCCGATCATTGGATCAATAAGAATTCTAGATTTTTATATGAGCGTTGAGTCGGTTGTGTTTTTGCTTAAAAATTACTTATGTTTTCATTTCATTAAGTACATAATATCCTCTGAAAAGCAAAAAAATTTTCGCATAAATCACTTATGGACTTAACTGAAATACATCAATTTGCTTTTTGCTAGTTACGGCCTTTTGCATTTCGGGTGTGTAATTAGTCGAAAGTTAATTATATTATTTTCTCATTTTATTGCACAAGGTCGGTCTCTCGTGTTTATACGAAACTTTAAAACAAAAAACGGCCAAGCGATATCGAAGTTATTTAAGAGGTTTTTATAAAAAAAAAAGGCAAGAGGGCACCATTTCTATCTTGTATCAAACCCTAACCGCCAAAAAGGCGTAAGCCACAAAATGTTCGAATTTCTGTTTTTGACAGAAATCGATTACTTACCACCATACGCACCAGCTTGCAAAATTTCAAAGCCCTACAAAGTAGCGTCGCAAAGTTATAGCGAAAGCAATTTTGGCTTAAGTGCTTAATTGTACTCTGTTTACATTTTTTTGGGCACGCAGTGTAGGTTAAGCCTTTTTCTCCGTGAAACATTTTTCACTGCATAAAGGGAATTGTTACATTTTTGTATGAAAGTTTTGAAGTGCCTCTATTTTTATCATTACCTCCATTTTATTAGCTCGGGATGTAACTATGTAACTATGTAATATTGATTCTCAAGTTACATACCTGATGACAGTACGAACGGAAATTATAATAGCGAGGTTTTAGTTTTTTAGCTATAATTATATCTTCCAAATATGGACTATTTACCAACAAAGGTAAATACATATATTTGTGGTAGATTAAGATTTTTAATCAAAAGGATGAAAATATAATGCATGTATGTATATGGTGTTAAAATAAATTGGTTATCGCAAAGCTTAACTAAAGGCTTACTCGTCTCATACAGCGACACCGATTTTTTGAAGAGTTATTGGTAGAGGAAAATTTTGTTGTCAGTGTTTGCATTGTTCAAATCTAAGCGGTACGGCAGCGGCAGCAAATTAGAAAATAAGAACAAAAATGATTAAGTCGCGTCATTTGGACGAAAATATTTGAATTTATGGAAAACAGAATAAATTCGACCGCCGAGCAAGAAACATTAATTTTTATTAATTTGAATTGGCATAAAATTGTGTATGCATCAAAGTCCGTTAAATCCTCTAATAAAAAATTTGGTGCTTTTTTCGATAAAACGCACCTTTTATTGGGTTTTAGTGCTTTTTCAAATTCAAAACATGGCAACACTGATAACCACTTAAGTGCATAGTGGTGGTGACAAATTGGTTTCACTACCACTATGCACTTAGTGGAAATGCATTTCACTATTACTATATAGTTAGTGGCTATAAATGTTTGAACAAACCTGTTGTAAAGAAATGGGTATTAAAATCATAGATCGAAAACTTATCCTAAATTTGTAAACTAGTGTTATTAGTCAGTGATAGTGAAATTTTCATTCCTTTACAGCTAACAAGATAGTGACACTAGTGACTAAAGCCCTAGTGGTAGTGAAAATTTCGATTTAGTGCAATTTGCCCAACCCTGATAATAGTTAGATTTTCATCACATTTTAAAATAAAAATACGTCAACTATGCGTTTTTTCTTAGCGGCGTTCATTGTTATTTATGTTTTTTCTTTGGCGTTTCTCCTCTCTTTACCAAAAATAATCGATAAATAAAGGTTGCATCTTTTTTATACAGGATTATTTTACAACTTGGGCTTCGGAGGAGAAATTTTGCGTTCTTAATTACGCATTGGATAGTTCTGCTCGAAAAATCAGATAATCTGGCCAAAAGTGTATATGTCGCTAAACAAAAGAATCGAATATAACAATTTTGTGAAATTTATTATGGGCAGCAGTCTACCGGATATCCGAAACCGGCTCTTATTTTTACATGTTATCCGGAATCCGGTTATCTGGAAAAATCTTTATCTGGCACATCCCTACTTATAAATAAATATTTTTTGATCGAATAATAATATTTCCCTTCATAAGTCTTCAGAAAATAACACTACGATGCTTATTTAGCTTAAAAATTTTACTAAGTGTGTTTTAATAAACGCTAAACCACTGTTTTTAAACTAATTTTTAACGGAAATAAAACATGATTTTTATGTTGCATATATTTTAATTTTGACTTCAGCGCCACCTAGCGGCCCAATATTAACAAAAGAAGTAATTTTTGAGCAAGAAAACAAAACTGACTTCAATTCTTATATTCATGATCAAATGATCGGATCTGAGCCAGATTAGTATGGGACCACCTCTGAGACACTACCATTCCGATGCAAAAATAATCGAAATCGGTTGACGTGGTCCAAAGTTATGCGGTAACGTACTCCTTTTTTGGAAGTCGGTTAAAAAAAGCCTTCAGTGGAAATTGTATTCCTCCCAATTTCTACAGAGCTATTTAAAAGATTAATGTGAACTGTTTCTTGACTGCTTTAAGGTATAAATTTAGTCTGACATTATGGTCGATTTGAGGGTTTCATTTTTCCTGCCTGCTATGTAGCGCCACAAAACAGCGCTTCCGTGCAGTTTTTGCTGAGGCATTCGTTTGTTATGCCTCGCTGATTGGCGATCTTAATTACCGCATCGATTTCAATCGGTTAACTTCATCGAGTTGACGCAGGCAAAGTGTTGAAAAATAAAATGTAAATAACATTTACGTATGCCAAAATGTTCTAGAGTACATTTGTATTTAAATGCATATAAACATATACATATGTACATACACCATTCTAAATAAGTATGTGCACACATGTAAATATGTTTTCTGCTAATTTGCTGTTTTTCGAAATTGTCCTTCAAACATGTGGCACGTCAAGGGAGGCCTTTGCCTATATAAAGCGCCTATTCAGTTCAACCTTTAAACAGTGCCAATCGCGCGCGTTGTCGCGCAAGCTAAAGTCATTTCAAACGCAAACTAATCGCGAAAATGCTTTTAGATAATATGACAGTACTAAGCACTCCTTTCTTCGATGATATGCCACGCGCCTTTCTTCTCGATAATGACAATCTTAGCGATTCTACAGCACTCTTTGGACCGTATGCCCAAATCATATGGAATTTCGCCGACAAGCATCAAATGCAACTCGCTTGGAATCGTGATCTGATCGAAATCAACTCCGAGATACTGCAGCGCATAGATTGTGGCGAGTATAATTTATCGATGAACGGCGCGACGATAGTGAAGCCTATCCCGCCAAATGTACAATTCAGCTATCCCTTATATTGGACAAAAAGTTGTATAATGATACCGTTGGAGGATGAATTGCCCAAGTATTGGTATATTATTTGGCCATTTGGTCGCTATATCTACATGTGTATACTGTTCGGCATCATCTATGTTGCCATCCTAATGAAGTATGTTGAGTATCCGACCAACGAGCACAGGCCGACACGTTCGATAACACGGAATATATTATATAGCAGCGCCATATTAATGTACGGTTCCAACATGAATGTCCGATTGAAGAATGCACAAGTGCGCGTGTTAATATTCTATGCCTTGCTCTTCGTACTCGGCTTCATACTTGCCGCCTATCATTCGCCCTATCTGACAGGCTACAATATGAAACCGATATTCATGCCACCTATCAATACAATCGAGGGTCTAACGGAAGCCAACATAAAGGTATTGATCAGCTTAAGTGACTACACGGATATAAAGCAGAGCTATGTCGAGCACATACTCGCTTTGACGCATCTTTTACGTGAGTTACCATGACAAGAGTTTCAAAATTATTTGGAAAAGTTGAATCGAAGTTACGCCTATGTGATAACCGAATATCAGTGGAAATTTTTTAATCGCCAGCAACGCGTACTCATACAACCATACTTTCACTTATCGAATATCTGTTTTGGCACCGTCTTCAAAGCTATTCCAGTGCAGCGCGACGCCGTTTGGTATGATGCGCTAAATCTGTTCATTCTAATCACGCAGGAGTCAGGTCTCTGGGAGCAATGGGAGGAGCGCGCATTCTTTGCAGCTGTGAGCGCAAAATATGCAGAAATATTCACCGATACCTATCCTTTGGAGGCGTTGAATCTGCGCTACTTTTTGATTGCATGGATAGTTTTGGGCTCAGGTCTGCTGCTGAGTTGTTTTGCTTTCGCACTCGAATATTACAGTAAGAAGCGCAATAGCGTAAAGGAGGAGACGAGCTATAATCGTTTCTTGTATACGTAAAGATGGCGAAAGATTTGATGAAGATGGGCAGACAAAATATTTTATAAAATAATTATTTATGTAGAGTACACAGCAGCAAAGCAAATGTATGTACATTAGGCTGGTCCAAAAATAGTGAAGTCGGAATTGTAATGCTCTCACCCCCTATGATTATTCTATATCGAAAAAAGTAGAACTTTTTTTTTTAAATCAAAAATATTTAGAGGTCGCTCAAAGCGCTAAAAGTTTTGCATGTATTTTTATATGGGAAAAATAAATTTTTTCGTAGAAATGGTATAGAATTCTTGAAAGTCAATATTTTTCGATCGAAAAACTCTGATTCAGGAAACTTTCAATAATAATACCCAACTGTTTATTTAACACTTTTTTAATACTAACGATTTTTATTGGATTTTTCGGGGCTGTTGTGGGTTTTTAACGGTCCTATAAATTATAGTTGTAATGAAAAAATGGTTAAATAAACGATTGGGTATTATTATTGAGAATCTCCTGCAGAGTTTTCTGGTAGAAAAACATTGATTTTTAACTATTCTATACCATCTCTACAAAACGTTTTTTCACACATATGAAATAAATGGAAAACTTTGGGCGCTTTGAGCGACCTCTAAATATTTTTTTATTTCAAAATAAAAAAATACAGGTATATTTTTTTCGGTATACTTTTTCACATGTATTTTTGGACCACCCTAATGTACAAATAAGTAACTAAGTACATATCTATACCCAAACCTAGCACTTAAATCCGCTATAATTTATTAACTCAATGCTTCGAAAATGCACAGGCAAGAATCAGGGTTAATAGGTGCCCTGTGCTTTCGAACGCCAGGATAAATTAACTGAGAACCCATTTTAATGCGAGGATAACTTATAGGATTTATGAGAAAAATATAAAATTAGACTAAGTCTGAAGCTGAAATAAAAAAACAAGGCTGTCTAGTTCTCCAAAAGTTTGGGGAAAAGCATGTAACACGCCATGACATCAAGAAGAGGGTCCGATAGGAGTCCTTTTCGAGTTTCATACTGTGTTTAACGTTGCTGTGTTGACCATATAAATATATCAGCACCGAATAATTTTTGTCCAAGGTAGTCAGCTGTCTGGAAGATGCATATGAAATAAACATACTTTAAGAAACGATATAATGCCGAAGACGAACTTTCTTGGACTTAGCGATCACAAGATCTGCCATCTCGCACACTTGACTGGCCTGACTGTGGGTGGAGATATGAGAAAACAAAATACAGTGAGTGGTTCCAGTTCATCTAGCTGGAGAACAAACGAGCTTTAGCATTTCGATATGGTGGCAGAGCACGGTAATGTCGGCAAGAAGCAAGTTTTTCTTCGGATTTAGATTCGAAACAATGGGAATATGATCTATTGATAATAATTCGGATTCGAGTTTGGAGTTTATCCCGACATTTCTTTGGTAGAAATAGAAATAACGAAATCACTTGAATATTTCTATTAGCGATTTCAACACGGCTGTCGACAAATGCAACCTGCTCGAACAGCATTCTGGTATAACCAATTCACCTGCATAGGGATTTACTGGGTATATTTTTTTTACTTTCTAGCCGGTAAGAATGGTAGTTATTGTTTATCTTTGTGAAGTGTTATATCGATAAACTAAAATGCTTAACATAGAGGCTAATAAAAATAAAATCAAAGCATGTATTCATCTATATACATAAGTTGCACCCATTTAAACGTAAATGGCAATGATCGTTTGAATCGCAGAGTTATTGTTTTTGCAATGTAAGTATATTCTTCGGATAATCATGATGAAATTGTTTGGAGAACTGTGAGTCTATTGTGGTCGTTTCAACTTCCAAACATTTCAGGAATTTGCTGTAAGCTGGACTACCAAATAAAGGGTGTGATCCCAAAGTTAACTTCATTGAGGTTGCAGTGGCTGCCCGCAAACAGATCCTAGATAATGACAGATCGTACATATTTCGGAACGCCCGCTATGATACCACCATATTATAGAACGAATAAGGAAGCTTTATGAAGCATTGTAAATCGGAGACCTTCCAAAGTTCCTTGTCAACTGCGACAGTAATCGTTCGCTGGAAATCGTTTTCTGCTGGTATGTATCCACATTAAGCAGTGACCAGTAAAGATCCCCACAACCAGCCTAAGTTGGAGGTGTTTTAAAAGACGAAGGACCCTGGAACTGTTATTATCCTGGAAAAGTAGTAGTATACTAGTCGATATTTAATTTGCTGGTTTATTCTAAGCCACAACTAACAAAGAGAGTGTGATCCTTAAAGGCTCAGTTATGCGTATGTACTTGGCATTGGATAGTAAGACGAGAGAGTTGTCACATAAAAATTCTGGTAAATGAGCTTTGCTTATAAGCTGTTACTTAAAGCGTAGCATGACATAGAAGTCTGCTGATTTTGGATTGAGCAGTGAGGGTCGGAACTACATTTTTATGCATCAGCAATCTATTCCTTTCTTAGTTCTGGAGTTATTCTAGCAGTTTCCGTCTCCATGTCTGCTTCCAATTGCTGTCAAACAGAAAATAAATTATGCTGCTTGTTCAAAATGTGACAGTGTCAACTAGATGGTTATAATTGGCAGGCGGACTACTGCATTTTAAGTTCTTCTGCTTCTTAATTGGCACTAAAACTGTTTTTCGATTTGAGACGAGAACAAAAAACTGCGCCAGTGCCCTCTTTCCTTTGCAAAATTGCGCTAGTTGTTCATCCCGAGTGCAGACAGATGTTTCTGCACTAGGTCCTTTCATAGACACCTTTGCTTTCATTGTCCACTTACCGGAGCATCATCATCCATACGTACGATATGTCCAAGTCCGCGCAATAGCTGCATTTTTATGTGTTTAATGAAATTTAGGACATTATAAAGCTCATACACTTCGTCAGAACGATAGATCTTGTGGAGAATTGTCCTCTCGATAGCCCCAAGAGCCTTCTCGTCTTTATTCGGTATTACTTTCCAACCGGGCTCAAACTGGCAACATCGTCCTTTTGCTATACATACATATATAGAGCCCCTCCGTTTCCGATGGGCAGCTCGTATTAATGGGCTAATCACAATGGGTACTTCGTTCATTCAGTAGTAGAGTGATGTCACAATGAAAACGTTGACGTAAACAAAATCGCTCCCTTTCCGAGTTTGCATTGTTGTTGTTCCGGTAAGTCATTCCTTGCCTGTCTGGCGTTCCCCATAGAAAATCACACAATTTACTCAAAGTGAGTCACCTTACCAAATCGACAAAAAAGTGGTGTGGGTCATTTCCCGAATTTAACTCACTTTGAAAATCTAATCAGTTGTGGAGTTCTCATGTGCTTAAACTTTAATCTAACGAATGCCGGGCAGCTGAGGAGGTAGTGCTGAGATGATTCCACCTCGTCATCCATTCTACGATATTAAGTGGCACCGCGTGGGTCCCTAAAGGATAACGTACGGTCAGTACACTGTAAGACCCAAGAGATGGCGCTTAGCCAGTTGTAGAAGCTCCCTTGAGCGCCCGCGGTCCATGATCGGCCAAAAGAACCTTACAACTTTGCATGTCGGGATTTTCTCCCAGCGCTCGCTGAGCCGACCCTGAACCGATCTGTCCAGTGGCAGGCCACAGGTTGCCAACGAGAATTGTATGCCTTCCCTGTCCGAGGGGATGGCCTAGACAGCTCATCAACTCCGCAATTTCCAGTGATATCACTGTGCCCTGGGACCCAAATATGTTTGATTTGCAAGTATTTCGAGCCGTTTGAGAGAGCGGTCGGCATTCCCCGACCAGTTTTGAACACACCATTAGCGATGCCAGCGCCCTGACTGCCACCTGGCTATCAGTGTAGATATGTACCCTCCTAGTCGACAATACATTGGTGTCTAGCGAAACGGCTACCTCTTTTATAGCGGCCACCTCGGCCTGAAAGACGCTGCAGTCCGGCAGTTTGAACATAAGATCTACTGAGAGTTTCAAACAGTAGCAGGTGTCCAACTCTCCCGTCCAGCTTCGATCGGTGAAGATGTTTATTGGACCTGCACTTCAGAGACTACCACTCCGGATCCTTTTGTGGCCAGCCTCAAGCGGCAGTAAGTCGAAGCTTTCAAGAATGGTCGAGTGTCCAAGCGCTTGGTTGAAAGAAAACCCAGAGCTGTTCAGCCTAAGGCTGAACGAAGAACCGCTACTTTGGTCGCAATGTCGACAGGTGCGACATTGTGCATAGCATTTAGCGATAGAGTAGGAGTGGGCCGAAGCGATCCTGACAAGAGTGGTATTTTCCAGTGAGTTCTAACAGACAATGACCCCATACTAAATTATTGGGTTGATAATCGTTTCACATAGCCGGTACATCACTTTTGGAGACAGGCCTCATCTCTTCACCATAGCAATTTTGCAGCAGTAAAGAGCCAAAGATGCCTCTTTTTTACTCGCTGCTCAATATTTCGTTTCCATGATAACTTTCCGTCCAGGATCACGCCCAAGAACTTGACCCTGTCAGAGAGAACAACGGAAGCTGGGCATGAGGCACTTTGCTCCTCTAGATGCATAGAACGAGCTCCATGTTTTCAGGATTGATAACTAGTCCGCAGCTTGCGGACCAATTTGTGACCATGTTTAGGTACCCTTTCTTAAGTTCGTACAGAGTTTCCAAAAATTTTTCCTCTGACGATGATAACCTGGCATACTCTTATTTCCAACTCCTCCAGTGAATTTGAGATGGCGCTGTATTCAAATCAGAATACTGCGCTATTGCGCTGAGTTAGTGCGCTGACACCACAGACGGTGCCGGCGTTATTGAGTTAGCACCACAAAAATTGCGCTATTACCCATGGCTACTGGTCACGTGACTCTGTCTCCACCCTTAAAAAGAAGCATTTCCTTGATTAAGTCAAAGCAGTTGAAATTAAAAGAAAAACTCTTAAAAGCATTCAAAGATAATCATTTCGAAACGAGTTCCACAAAGTAGAGCGTTAAAAAAATGGCCTATTGCAAAAAAGTGAATTTCTCTGGCCAATTGTTTGGCCA